AAATTGCGTTTTTAACAATCTTTTTTTTTCTTATGTTCTCAATAGGATACATCTATTGCAATCATGATTCAAAAAGGCCTGTATAGTGAGCTCGAGAGCAGGAAATTCAGTTTCTCAAGTTCAGTCCGTAGTCGCCCGCGATCGTTAATGACAGCTGCTGCATTAAAAGTGCACGCGCAAACATGCACGAGTTTAAAATCACGAATAAAATTTTAAAGAATTTTAACGGATTTGTTTACTTTATTTATGTCAGCGATCGTCGGGTATTTTGGTTATCAAGTTGGCACAAACATGAACTTGAGTTTGTAGAAGAATGAGAATACTTACCGTTTTGTTGCTTTTATCAAGTTCAATTCCATCCCGAAGCGATTTGATTGCGAAAAGCAGCATAACTATTTGAGAAAATTCTGGCGGCGGAGACGATCCAATGAGTGTCGTGTACGAGAAAGCATGCGAGAAAAAGCTAATTGTTACCATGTCAGTTAGAAGTGGACAGGTAAGAGCTCTTTTAAGTTCTCTCCAGCAAGTTCAGTTCACAAGAATAAAATGTATGTTTTGATTACTCTTCAGCATGGAACTGAGCTTAGCCTAAAAAGAAACTGTAGTTTCAGTAAAATGGCGATTTTGCAGCAGCTTTAGGATAAGGATTTCCTTTTCCCAATATAAATACACATATAATGGAAAGCATATTTTTTGTCAGTGATTTCAACTATAGGAAGGAACCACGTTTTCATGATCACGTTTTGATGTCTTTAAGTTCCTTCAATGGAATCATTGTTCATCTTTGCGATTGAAGACGAAGGGTACCGGGCTGATGTTTATCAAGATTTTATCAATAAGCTGAAAATAGGACGATTTACTGAGATCAATTCATTTTTGCACATTATTTTGCGGGAAAAAATATTCTTCCATTTAGATCTCCAATATCAAAATTTGTTTACAACTAACTTTGACCATATCGCCTGGCTATAAATATCCTGTTGATGAAAACCGTTTAAACAAAAAAACTATGTGAGAAATGTGTTGTTGATGGAAGTTTATTCACAGGTGAGCTTTGATTAAAAAGGTTCCTTTC